AAAGAAAAGAATAAACATATTTACATATAAAATAATAAACAGAATATATTTATATATACCAGAGCCTAATTCAATAGTAGAGCGGTCTGAAGATTTAACTGCGAAACTTCCTGGGAGTGTTCACCATTGATGAGCCAGGCCCATATATTATATATTGTATCATTGAAATATAAAGTGTGTAGAAAACGTTTTTAATAATTAAAACGTAGCATTAAAATTCGACTCAATTTTCAAGGAGAGAGAGGGGTCAAAGATGAGGACATCTAGCTAGTTAACATTGTATTCCATTCCCTAGCTCTGCAGCAGCAACTTTATAAAATGTATATTTATCTTCTTCTTCTTTCTTATCTCCACTCAATCAGATTAGGATATCCAGTTGTGACCCTTGATGGTGTCTGTTTGACAACCATTATGACTGGGTGAAGTAGAAGGCGTCTGCTTTTGTCATTAAGACTGGGAGCACTACTCAGTGGCAGGCCGACTTAGCTCCAAAAGAAATGGCCGCCTCTGACATGAGGAACAGACGCCATGTACAGCCGCTCCTAACATGGAGTACAAACGCTGCTCATCCTGTATCCCTGGATTAGGAGCCCTTACAGGGTACTATCAGCCGGGCCAGCTGAGCCCAGGTTTTTTATTGAGCTTGTTACTGCTCTCCCTCCTCCTTTTTCATCCGGGCTTGGGACCGGCAAAGGCGGAGTTATGTATATTTATAACTTTTGCAAGTTGATTATTGATTCTTCCAAGAGTCCAATATCGTCCCCGCGATGTATTGTGTGTAGTTTGGAAGGTAGGACTCAGGCAAGTCTGGATCATTGATAAAATCCAAGTAAGGTCATACCTTAGACAATTATAAAGGTTTTCTGGAGATTATTTTCTTTTTATTTTATTAAAACTGTCTCAGGCTTCAGGCATCTCGGCACTTCAACAGGAGAATATATACTACGCGACTATATGTCGCGCGATTAGTCGATTAGACCAACCAACCTCTTTCATTCCTATGGCACGACCAGTTTCAAACTCTGACATATGTTCGTAATGAGCACGAATCTTTCGGCGAGGCATTGATACAGTAGAAATAGGCGTACTGCTAAAATATTAAACGGAAATTCTGAAAATCAGCTCGTGCCGCGCCGAATGTTGAGTCTAGAATGCTCGTGCTGGATGCGCAGTTCAGATGCGCTGGAGCTCTTTCTTTGCATAAATCGGCCACCAAATTTCAATCATTTGCATGTTTGGTCGAAACCTCTTTGTATACGTATTTTCATATAAATCGGACAACTGCTTCTTGGTGCGTCGATTTTTTTTTGTTATAGAGTATATATATACACATATATTGACATCAGTCGGCGTTTTATTCATTATATGTTCTATTGTAGAAGGGCCGAGATGCCTGAAATCTTGAGACGGTTTTAATAAAATAAAAATAAACTCATCTCCAGAAACCTTTGTAATTATTTAATCAATGTCCAGGAGATTTAAATCAATTGATGGTCATAACTTAACAAAATGAATATATAGGGTGGCTCTCACCTTGAACAATACTGTCTGGGAGCATTCTGGTGTTCCACCTGATCGGTGGGGGCTCGAGCAATTCCCTCGGCGCCATTTGAGTGCACTACCGCCTTAGGTTCGTTTCCTCGGCACGGTGTCACGTATTCTCGAATTCTGAGATCGGTTGCTATAGTAACCATCTATGGATAGAAATAAAAAGAAAAAGTAAGAAAGAAGAGGTCAGGCAGTAAAATTGTATCAAAGACATGCCCTGAGCCACTTAAATGAACGTTTTTAAGATAGAAAAGAACCATATTCCGAAATAAAAATAAACTAAATATCGATTTTACTTTATTATAGTATATTGTCCAACCCCATGCCTTTGATAAATCAAGAAAAGTCATCCACGTACGACTTTCAGGCTGTTGGTTCTCGTCAGCATGGGGCAAGCTGTTCATCAAAGACCAAAAGGCGGGTTGCAGATACTTCCTAAAATTCAAGAAATGTCCATTTTAGGCTGAAATTGCATAGGTACGTTAAAATGCATAAAAAGAAAAAGAAAGGGCAAGAATGAAGAAAAGAAAAAGTCAGGCATTTAAAATAAATGATAAACATGCTCTAAGCTACTCAAACGAATTTTAAAATCTAGTAAACATATATGTTAGTAAATTAATAGAAAAATAGAAAGTACCTCTTCTATAAAAATAAACGCAAAAACTTCGTAGATTACTTCTTCAGACTCGGGTATGTCAAAATTGGGACTATTCCATTGACAAAGTAAAAATAGAGTAATCAAAGCCGAGGAGTATTGTTTCAAAAGAACTGATGAAGTAATACCATCGCGATACTTCCTTAATAATGCTCCACCAGTATGGTGCCGATATTCTGTATCCACCATGGCAGAACCATAAAAATACTAGAGTGTATTGGTATTAAGTGATATAAGCAGAAATCACTACAGAAGTAAAGTATAAAGCTCTACAGGTTTGATACCCTGATATGATTGAGTGGAGATAAGAAAGAAGAATAATACAGAAGTCAAGACTAGAGAAAAGGACAGTCTGCCAGAATCTCCCCTTGTCGCGATGTCACCCCCACCCCTTTATTACGTCACAGGGACATGTCACCACAGGGTGGCGGGGGAGTCCGGGAACGATCAATAAAACTGGGAAGGTAGATTACGTAGCCCAGCAGAGTGTCCCAAAAGGCCGTCTGGCTGACCATTAAGTTCCTCTTGTCCCACTCAAAGTTCTGTGCCATGAAGTTCTAGGCTTCCCAAATCCTGTACCTCTCGCATGTCCCTCCGAGCGGCCATTACTGAACCACTTCCCTGCAACAATATGTCAAACGGACTACTGAACCAGATTATCTGAAATGCTTATTGTTATCACGTCGCCTTTAGCTGGCTGATTCCCCAAGACACTGCTACCGCAGTTTCCACCGCCAACATTTACCTCGCTTCGTTTGTGTAGAGTACTTGAGCAGGCCGAGTGTGGCATTTTCCCCTCTTCTAGGAACGGTCACGTTCACTTTCATTTCTTCCAGATTAAGGCTTGATGTGAACTGTCATTTGGTTGTCTTGTTTCCCAATGTTGCGATACCAGAGTGTATTTTACAGTTAATTGTCTTTTAAACAGGATGTGTACATAACTTTTGTACAACACGTGTACATAAATGTTGAATTTTCCAATTTCCTTTCTTTTTGGAGTCTTTACAGCTACTTAGTAGCTTTGCTTATACTATCTCCGCTGTAGTTGAAATAATTTCTTATATCTTTCCGAATTTCGGTTCAAAATTTGTGGCTTACTTATCATAGCCATTCGACTTATTTCTTAATGAAAATATCAGTTATCTCTCTCATCCAACAGAATTGTTCCATTCCATATGAAAGTGTCAGAATGTTAGTCGAATATGGAGGCAAATATAATTCACAAATACTATATTTTGATATGGTTTTATTTGTAACACACACACATTAATAAATAAATATAGATTACTAAATTAAAACCACAAATATTAATAAGATTTATCAACAATGGAACATAATAGCTACAAAAAATACAACTCCTGTAAAAGGCACATTCGTTCAACTTATAATTTAAAGGCGGTAGATGGATAAATATTGAATTACATTTTATTAAAAAGTTTTGAAAACTAATAAGCTAATAAAGTTTTTTTGAAAAACTAACGAACTAATAAAGTTTTGAAAAACTAACTTTGTAAAAGTTAACAAAAAAAATCAATGGCAATTGTGATCTATATATAAGATTCAATTCCTTCAGAGTAAAGCCCACTTAGCAGTTTTCTACTTTATATTTCAGCTAGCCTTACAGTACTAAGCTATATCTACATTTCTCAATGCCTAGCTGTCCTTTCAATCGATCGACCCAACTGGAAATCTTCTGTTTACCTTCCTTTGAATCCTCGCCTTTTTATATTAAAGGGTCTGTTCAATCTCGTTGGTGCAAACGTCTTTTTAACATATCGCTTTGTATATGGTTTGATATTATCTTCAGTATCAATCTTATGTTTGTCCAAGTTGGTTCCGCACAATTTGGATGACAATCAATCGGTGCATTCCGACAATACTTGCTCAACTTATTCTGCGGAAAATTACGTAGTTCTTGTTTACTTAAACTTGTATTCCCTTCTTTGCAACATCCCATTGTCTAGAGACCTTGATGCAGATAGTGGTCATCAACCTTGTGTTTGTTAACTAACGTTGCAGCACCCATTGTCACCAAGGTGGAATTTGATAATCTTTTTAGGTCGCAGCAACGTTGGTGAATAGGGTTGAGGAGTGTTATTTTCCTCGATATATCAACCTGAGAACTAGGATTTCCCTTATTGGTTATAGAATCAATCATTACTTATTTAGTTCAATGTTCGACTTATCTTTAAAGGTAGAGAAACGTGGCGTTCTATCTTCTAGATAGTCCCTTTGTTGGAGTCATGGTTTGGTCTGAATCGTCAGGTTCTAGTGAGGTTTGAAAGGTTTGAATCAGGTGGATCGCCTGAAGCCGGGCATTCGTTAGACAAACCATATTACAGAAATATCGCAGTTCTCATTGTATTTAACCTTTCTAGAAGAGTATTGCTGTATGAGACCTAAGATGGCAAATATGATGAAGTTTACTCTTCACATGCATGATGAAGGTGGTAAATTGTTTTCGAGAATTCGGATATATAGGACTAAATTATATTCAATTTTAAAACACCCAAACAACGAATTTTATTTTATCCTGATCTCTTAATGATAATTATGATTATCAACATTTTATAGACAAAAAAAACCTTACAGAAAATCTAATTACGGGCTCATTCCATTTTTGCATCACGTTCCGTTCAAATAAGAGTCCATTCTTGTCTACCGAGAAGTCCTGGATGAGACGGACTTTCAGAAAGACTTACCTTGTGTCTTGTTCTCCAGGCCTATTAGGCCGGTGTAGTACGCGATGATGTAATCCTCCCAGAGATTTCTTGTAAGGCTTGTAGCGTGCGGCGGTCCCGAGCCGAGCGAGGTATGGAGTTCTTACCGGGGGATTGCACAGTAGTAACTCCGTACCAGGCTCGGCTCGGCTCGACCCGGAAAGTCTTGCCGTGGCAAGCCAACTTGAGTGTCGAGGAGATTTTCTGATAATGTTGGAGTTGAATTCAGTAATACTTGCTATAGATGATCATGTTTTAACTTAATACATTGTTGTCGATTCTTCATGGAGATTTTTGAAGTCTTCTATCACAACATATAGCTATAAACATAGTCGATCTATGTGTGGGTATGTTGGTGATACATGATTTCAACTGGGGCCTTAGGAAGTTGAGACATGAATTTTAGAAAGCATATTTATGACCTCGAAAAAGAAGGAAATCCAAAAATTCAGATTTTATCTCATTATCATGAGAATCACCAGATACGCTCTCCAAACTGCTTCAGTCGTTTTCAAAGTTACATAACTGTTCATAAAAATTTGTACTCAAAATATATTTGCAGAATGGCAGCAATTTTTGATGCAAATCTCTGTGCCGGTGTATAGTTGTTTCATATTTAGTGAATTCCAAATCTCGTCAAAATTTCTATTACAGGATTTTGGTGTGTTAGTAAAAATAAAATTATACTTTTAGCTATATATCTAAATACAAGAGAATATAGCGACTTTTGACGAATTATTGTCCTTATAAAAGAATAAAAAAAAGGTAATTCACCTGTTCCAAGTCTGCGGCCGTTACTGAGCACATGATGTTCCCGCAGTTCCCACCGCAGGCCTCGCCGTAGGTCAGTCCTGAACACCACAGCTAAACTGATAGTGTACCATTTGTCTCATAATAGAGAGATACAAGTTCATGAACTCAGAGAATATAATTATAATTTCAATTTGATTTTTAAAAAACGTTTTAATAATTCGAGACTTGGCTTGTCGCCCGTCTTCTCCCAAGGGAGAACTCTGTTAAAAACACTTTATCCACTGGAATTCAAGATAATTAGGTTTTAGGCCTTAATTTGATCCTATTTGATCTAAAAGAAGCTTTCAACGTCTCTCTCTAATATACATGGCTCCATCTTTCGCAAAATAAAAGCTAGCTTTAAAGAAAGAAATGATTCTCTCCTAGGACGTCAAATGTTTTAGAGATTATATAATTCTTTCCAAAAATTTAACAATTCCATCTAAGTTACAATTTGTAAATTGTTCCGCTGGAGTAAACCTCCTTTTGTGTCTGGATGCTATATTTATGGCGAACTAAATAACTTAGTCCCTATTTCTGCTCCGCGGTTATGGAATTGAAGACTTGAGGCGATGGCGTCGACCTTTCATATTAAATCTTACTTTTCCTTATTACTAATAATTGTATATAGTTGCGGAACTACTGGTTTCCTGTGCTGCTCTTTCCTGTTATTGCACCTTGTACGGAGAATCTGTAAAGGACTAACGTCTTAATAAAGGCTTTGTGTGTGTGTAAATTGTTCCAGAAAATATACCGTCGTGGCCCGGGGGGTGGCGCTTGCGGCGGGGCGAGGTCCAGCTGCCGATGGGTGGGGATGGGGCCGGCTGGAGACGACACACAGCTTGGACCGTCACATATCAGACATGTAAGTACTATTTAGTCTACAAATTGGACCACAAAATGAAATAGAATATTGTACAAAGCTCGGTCAATAAATAATGCACAATCTGTAATAACCTTTTATTAACAAACTATAAAATTGAAACACTGTATTTAAGAACTCCTAACAGTCCTCTATATTTGAATCGTTCAATATATCCACCTTCCTTCTGTACATATTTGATACAGCATTTCGGTAAAACGCCTTATCCAACTCTCTAAACCACCCTCTAATAGCTTGGAGTAAAATTCCATCACTTATACAAATGTTTTACAACGTAAAAAACTCTTTGATCTTCCAAAATTAGAAGTCTGAAGGTGCCAGGTCAGGTCTGTACGCAAGGTCCACCCATACCCTGCAAACATCACCTAAGTCAGGTGCGCCGTGTGAGGTCTCGCATTATCCTGATGAAATTTGATTTGGGTGTTTTTTTTTAAATTGGTTATTTTTGTTTCAAATGATTCACAATACCTTTCCTTGTTAATAAAAGAATTTCTTTCAAGAGTGTCCATGAATACCAGCCTTCTTAAAAGATAGAGATCATGATTTGGCCCTTGGAAAGGGAAATCCTTGGTTTTTCTTTATTTTCGATATGTTTTGGGTCCATTGCATTGATTGGCGCTTTGAAGAATAATTATATTGAAATATACAAATATCATAACATGTTATCAAACCTTTTCAAATATTTAAGAAGGCTCTCCAGAAAAGGTTTCTACGAGGTATAAACAAATCTCTTTCTGAATTTGCATCATTTCTCGTTTTAGAAGATTTGGCACCCATTTTGAACATAATTTTTGATATCCAAGATCATTAATAAGTTTAAGAACACTTCCTTTAGACAGTAAAAGTTATTCTACTATTTTATAATATGTAATTGCCCGCGCGGCTATTCTTGATCAATTCCTCCTTAGAGCCAAACTTTGGTCCGACACTCCAGAGGTTGGTCTACTTGGATTTTCTCTATCACAAATATTAAAATCACCAGTCTGGAAACTGAATCCATCTTTGTATTGTGCTTCTATCCATGGCTTCATTTCCATACACATACTTTATCTTCGAGTGAATTACAGAGGCTTAAATATCTCCGGACTTAAACAGGAACTCCATCCATCATCGACCGTTGTCGGATTCTTGTGTTTACTCCAGGCCGCATATCTGAATAAATACAAAATATATTCTGTATGCAGATATGAGAATTTGAATGTTTATTTAATCAGGAAACACCGTTTTTATGACTATAAATTATTTAAATATTTTTATATGTGTCACTGCACATTACTTATTGACCGGCCTTTGTATTTTGGAGTCCAAATGAAAAATGGGACACACAGGATGGGAATAGCTAGGCTACCCTTGTGATATCCCAGTTGTTCTAAAATGAATCAACTGAGGCCGACTGAGGCGTTTTTTACTAAGAAAAAGTATCTCTAACACTATAAATAAATCTTGAGGTGTGTTTGGACAGTTGCTAGCAGGTCTATGAGAGATGCTGTTGAACTGAACCTCAATCCTAATTTTAGCTGAGTGGTCATTCTAAGCTGTCGTGGTGCGCTGGCAGGAAAGAGATGGCTTGGTCATTTCCCTAATGCGGTCTCCACTGGTCACTTCTAGCCAATGATCCAAGATAGATTGGGGTACCATCCCAATAACCACACCTGGCTGCAAACACCGCCCGTGACTCCCCTGCTATCTGTGTTGTGAAGGTATAAAGAAAAGATATGTACTGTATTATCAGACAAAATGCTTGTGGAGTCAAGTTATCGAACACGTAACGTAATATTTTCAGAATTCAGCGAAATAATAAAGTATTTAAGTTAGAAATAAATAAATTTTAACTAAATGATAGAAGAAAAGGTAAAAGAAAAAAGGGAGGGATGTAAAATTTTAAATATAGCTGATATACCCTTTGGCACAGTAGAATGAAAGGAATGAGTCATTAAAGTTCAGAAGTAACAGAAGTCACTAGTCAAATGTCACTAGTGAAAACAGAGAGAATATAATTTAACAGGATTGAGAAAAATAAATGTATGGTTAAAGCAATACTTGAACAGAAAGAGATAAATTATAGAATATAAAAGTGGGGGGGGCCCGAGTCCGACTTCCAAGTCGTTCCGCCAAGAGATCAACACCACAGAGGTCCGTACGTCTGACCTCACGGACAATACAGCAGCTACTGGACATGCCTCTCAAATTTTAATGACCGATATGTCCTCACTTCTTTTTCTAGATTTAATTCATTTTGTCTCCTCTCTAATTGTAAATACGCTGCTGTATCACCTCATAAGCATAAATAATAAGGTAAAATAAGGTGAAAAGAAATAATTAAGATTTGTTTATTTATCTCCCAAGTACACATGTTACAGGTCATGATAATCCTAGCGGGTAGTTAGCGACTATATTTTTCTCTAAGTGTATAACATATCTACACACCTATAATATTGCACTTACAGGGTACCAGAGCTCTGTTTGGGCTTGTAGAAGAAACAAGGGCCATTGAAGCAGAAAAAGTGCTCAATGCAACGGGCTTTGATCCCGGGTAGTGTTTGTTGAGAATGGACGACATGTACCCTTCCTCCTCGCCCATTCTATATACAGTTACGAGCGTCATTCTTCATCAGTCATCTCTGTCACCGTTTGCTTTTTTTTTTGGAATGGCGCCCTCCTATTGGTCGGCTACGATCACGCCACCTTTGCCACCCCCCCCCCCCCCCCCCCCCCCCCATCATGCTCCCCCCCACTCGCTTTTTTCGTTTTTGTAACCATTGTGTTGGAGCGGGTCGCTCCTTAAATAAATGCATATATTAGTTAATAACCAAATGGAATCCTCTTTTCCCAGTAAGAGACGCCTACGGAAGCGAACAGTACATCTACTTATATAATTGCCTTATTCTGAAGCTCACGGATAGAATGCGCGCCCATTGGCTGCCGCCGGCGAACACGTGTCCTCCCTGCCCCCCTCTAGACAACCCTGTTATCAGCTGTGTGATACATACACCTGTCTATAGCGGCCATTCTAGACAACCCTGTTATCAGCAGTGTGTTACATCCACCTGTCTATACAGACAACCCTGTCTATAGCGGACACTTTAGGCAACCCTGTAATCAGCAGTGTGTTACATCCACCTGTCTATACAGACCACCCTGTATATAGCGGGCCATTCTAGAAAACCCTGTTATCAGCTGTGTGATACATACACCTGTCTATAGCCTCCACTCTAGACAACCCTGTTATCAGCTGTGTGATACATCCACCTGCCTATACAGACCACCCTGTCTATAGCGGTCACCTTAGGCAACCCTTTTATCATTAGTGTGTTACATTCACCTGTCTATACAGACCACCCTGTCTATAGCGGTCACCTTAGGCAACCCTGTTATCAGCAGTGTGATACAGTCACCTGTCTATACAGACCACCCTGTCTATAGCGGCCACTCTAGACAACCCTGTTATCGGCTGTGTGATACATACACCTGTCT